TTTAATTGTTTTATTTGGGAAAGAATTGATTTTTCTTTTGTGGCTTGATGGTATGTTTTGTTTGGACAGAATGACTTTATTTTGTTTGTTTGTTTTTATATGGTGCTGAGGATCAAACCCAGTACCTCACGCACACTAGGCAAGCACTCTGCTGCTGAGCTACAACCCCAGCTCCAAGCTAGTAAATTTTTTAATTTTTATTTATTTATTTTTGGATAGTGGGGATTGAACTCAGGGGCACTTGACCACTGAGCCACATTACCAGTTCTATTTTGTATTTTATTTAGAGACAGAGTCTCACTGAGTTGCTTAGCTTTTGCAGAGGCTGGCTTTGAACTTGGGATCCTGTCTCAGCCTCTTGAGCTGCTGGGATTACAGGCGTGCATCACTGTGCCTGACCCCAAGCTAGTATATTTTTAAGGATTGCTTTTTTACAGCTGATCTTTGTGGTTCATGCCTATAATCCCAGTGGCTCAGGAGTCTGAGCAGGAGAATTGCAAGTTCAAAGCCAGGCTCCTCAATTTAAATAAAGTATAAAAAAGGACTGGGGAGGCTACAGTTGTAGCTCACTGGTAGAGCGTTTGCCTAGGATATGTGAGTCACTGGATTCTTTCCTCATCACCACATGAAATAAATAAAATAAAGGTATAAAAAAAATCACATTTAATAAAATGACTCACTTAGGGGCTGGGGTTGTGGCTCAGTGATAGAGTGCTCGCCTAGCATGCACGGGGCACCGGCTTTGATCCTCAGCACCACATAAATGTAAAATAAAAGAGATTGTGTCCACCTAAAACTAAAAAAATTAAATTTTTTTTTTAAATGACTCATTTAAAAAAGGGGTATGGTACTGGGGATGTGTATCTGTGGTTAAGTGCCCCTGGGTAAAATCCTTGGCCCAACAAAAAAGAATTGCTTTTTTTGTGGATACGATGCCTTCTGAAAGCAAAGCTTTTTTATTTTATCTTATTATTTACCTGAAATATCAAACTATAATGATTGCTAAAACGGGTAGGGTGAAAGATACCATGTTATTGTAAATACTTACTCCTTAAAATCAATATTTACATTCCTTTATGCAGGTTTCAAATTGGAAGAATTTTTTTTTGTCCAAATGTAATTCCTTTAAAAAATTTATCATAATTTATTGATCTTTTCAAGAAAAGTATTCAGAGTATTCATTTTATTTTAATGTAAAATAAAAAATTGGCAATACAAACATATCTATACATATAAATTCTTTTTTTTAATATTTAGTTTTTAGTTATAGGTGGACCCAATATCTTTATTTTTATATGGTGCTGAGGATCGAACCCAGTGTCTCACACATGCCAGGCGAGTGCTCTACCTCTGAGCCACAACCCCAGCCTGATACATATAAATTCTTAATGATATTTCTACTTCTAGGCAGGAAAAAAGTGTGTGTGTGTGTGTGTGTGTGTGTGTAATATAATTTTGTTACCTGGGATATAACCCAGGTTACCTCTGAGCCATACCCCTCCCCCCCAGCCCTTTTTATTTTTTATTGAGACAGGCTCTCATTAAATTGCTTAGGGCCCTGTCAAGTTGCTGAGACTGATCTTAAACTTGAGATCCTCTGAGCCTCCTGAGCTGTTGCAATTATAGGTGTGCACCACCATGCCCAGCTGGAAATATGTGTGTGTGTGTGTGTGTGTAATATTTTTTTAGTTTTAGTTGGACATAATACCTTTATTTTATTTGTTTTTATTTTTGTGTGGTGCTAGGGATCGAACCCAGTGCCTCACGCATGGTAGACAAGCGCTCACTGAGTCACAACCCTGGCCTTGGAAATATATTTTAAACAAAGTTTCTTAAGAGTATGTGCCAAAATGTTACCAGGGTATAAAGCTATGGTTGCTTTCATCTTGATTTATGTTAATTTTAATTGTTAATTTTATGATCCAATAGAATACACATGTACTGTGTATATACACACATTCATGAAAAATGATGAGGTCATACAGTAATGATATTCATGTAAATTTTGATAAAAGGAAAAGAAATCCATACTGCTTTAACATAGAGCTAGGTTTCATTTTTGTGTAGCTTAGCTTGACATGTTGCCAGGAGTATATACATTCTTTGTTTTTGGAGATACTGCTTTAGTGTGGTTTAACAAGTTAAGTTGTTTAATATGGTTTAACCATATATTGCTTTTGCATTATTCCATTCTGATGTATTGGAAGAATGAAGTAGTCTAATTTTCTTTCTTTTCTTTTATTTATTTATTTTTTGTTCTGCTTGGATAAATCCTTGTTCATGCTAGGCAAGTGCTCTATACTGAGCCACATCCCCAGCCTGGAATGTGTAATTTTCATACTACCTTTGTTGTTTAAAAGGTAGTTTAAAATTCTTTAACACCCCCCCCCACACACACACATGTTTATTTTGAATGTAACATGTCAGTCAAAGGTAATAGGTATTTTACAAATTTAATGTCATGTTTCATGAGAGTGAAGGCTTTTGTTTGTTTTGTTCAATGCTGAATCCCCATTGCCTAGAGTAGCATCAGCATAATATCTGGAGGTTGGAGGAAAGGAAGCCAGGGAATCAGAAAATTTACTCCAAATCATATACTTCACAGGTAATATTTAAAACCACCGTAAATGAAGAGTTGTCGTTCATACATTTGTTACCTTAATTAGACTTTCCTTTTCCTGAAAATGATATTCCTGTTCTGAGTCACCAACTTAGAGCCATGTTTTAAAAACTTGT